TGCACTATGTTTTTGATTTTAGACAGATTATTTTAAACTCATTAATACTTCAGTTAGTCCTTGTACGCGTTTTACCGGTTCTCACTTGCTGGCTGTGTGACCATAATTCAGATAGGTAGTTTTAAGTATTTCATTGTCGCATCTTACTCCATTTATTTCGATCAGTTGTATAATATGACATACCATTAACTTATGGTCGCGTGGCCGATTGGTTAAGACCCGGGGTTCGACTCCCACCATGATCGATTTGTCAGGTAGAAGACCCAAGAATTGTGAGTGAAATTGGCAGCCGTCGTTGGCTAGCACGAAGTCACAAGTCATCGTGACCGAGGGTTTGTGTGTGCTAGCTCTTTTCAGACTATTGATCACGCTAGATCTTTCCCTGAAGTGGGGATAGCTAACCGCCCTAGTAGACTGACATCCTTGAATTCGAATGGCTGCGCCATTTTACCATAAACTTAATAATTTAATTTAATGTCAAACAGACTGTTTTGAATTATTTTGTAGCAGAAAACAAAACACATCCTTACGCATGGGCTCCCACTTTAAATTTGACCTTGTGTCATATTCCATACGAGTAGGCGTACGGATAAATGCCCTTTTCAGAAATCTATTATCTATATGAAAATGCAATGAAACTTATGTATCGGTCACACAACCTGATTTCTCTACTTATTAATGAAATATTATACTGTAATGATACAATGAAAGATGGAACTTACACACTTTTGAAGTCAGGAATTTAAATTTTGGAAAAAATATAGATATCATGTTTCTGCAAGCAAAAACCGGAAATGAGAGATCGAGGGGATAAAAAAATGGCTGCAGCAGGAAGACTGGCCTATTGCTGCTGTTAACATTTTTTGTTTCCCCTGTTCGAGTCGCGCATGTCTAACACTCGTAAAAATACTTCTGAATTGTTCTGCATTACTGAGTTGCAAGATTACCGTGGTGTATATTTGCACAAGAATAGGTAAGCAAAGCAATTTTCCTCTCTGTCATTAAACCACAAGTCATTTCGGCTTTAAACGAACACAGGAAGACAGGGAAAGGTCAGACTAATTAACGACAAACTGTAAGGGCGATATGGTTGTGTCGCTTAATGATTGATTGATTGATTTGTTTGTTTAACTGCACATTGACTCCCCATGAGTCATCTAATACCGAAATTTAACTTTCTTGGGAGCTTTGAAGTAATAAAAATATGTTATTCTGCTTTCACAACTGAATACATGGTAGATGATACCCAGCTTTGGTATATTTACATGTTTGTTTGGACATCATACTTATTTTAAAACCCAGGTTATGTGTGTGTGTGTCTGTACGCTTATATATTGGATCGGATTTCCTACATTTTTCAACCGATTTCAACAAAACTTCACAGGACTACGTAAAATTACCTTGCGGTGGTTCTGACAGCGCCAGAATTTGGAAAAACAATTATTTTTGCACGAAATCAATTTGAAAACACGATTAAGAGGCATCGCGAGAATGAAAGGGGGACAACTCATATGGAGTTATAGTTATTATAAAACCCAGGTTGTGTGTGTGTGTTCGTTTATATATGGGATCAGATTTCCTACATTTTTCAACCGATTTCAACAAAACTTTTTTTTTTTTGGCAAGTAGTGTTTCTTATTGTCTTGCACACATTTTTCTTTATTTTTACATGCAGAATGCTTTAAAATTTCCATTTACAAGACAATTGTTTATAATAAAATTGAAAAATACTATTCAATCGGTAGACTCAACGATTGAAAACAATGTTTTTGTTTGGGTTTGACCATTTCGTAAAAAAAAAAAAAAAAAAACTAATTAAGTGTTGTGTATGATACACCTAATTTACATAAGCGGACTACCGACCATATAAATATGGGTTGGTACCGGAAGACGGGGAAGATAGTAGAGATTAAGAAATTGAATCCAGAGACTCTGCCCGACTGCGATTTAGTCAACCCATTATGCAGGAACAGTCTTCCCAAGAATATACCAAACTAACTGTAAATATTGTGTACCTATTCTTTGTTTCAATACATTTTGTTAACGTACATTTTGTGTTGTATTATTCCATGCTTATTTAAGCTTCAACATTAAGACATGCGTGTCCATCAACCTTAAACAATAATCTTTGTCAATTTTATTTTTTCAGTCTTTATGATGGTCGATACATGATCTATCTCTTACTGTTACATCCCCGGGCAACGCCGGCCGCTACTGCTAGTAATTACTAAAAGCAGTGATGTGTGTTTTATGTTGTAGTTATATTTTGGAATACAATTACATTTAAGACATTGTCGGATATTATATTGATTAATGTCATGAAAGAGTTCTTTCAACCAAAGGTTCGTTGATTTTGTCTAGCGGTATATGAATTGCTGAAATCTAAATATTTTGAACGCATTTGTACGCCTTGAACTACAGATAAGATGCATTGTTGATAATCTTTTTTCATCTGAAAATGTACTTTTACTAAGTAATTTTATACTTATACATTGTTTTTGTTGGGACCCTAACAGGTGCTAAGAAGTGGTTCTACGCTTTCCAGAACCTCCAATCTCCTGATCAGAAGCCTTGCTGCCGGACGTAGTTTATCGTCATTCTCAAGCCTACGTGTCGCTTAAAAAGGTTCAACTGGTAACAACATTAGCTATTTCTAACCTCGTTAGCTTCAAAGCACTGTATTTGGAATGTGATGCATTGGCAATTATACATGGAGATGGGTGAAGAAGAGAAAAAATCAAAACAGATTAAAAGAGGCATTTACCGAAGGATTATTTTTTCGCAGTGATATTTATCCTGTACAAGGCCCAAAAGCCTCTCGAGGTAGAGGTTTACAGAGTAAGAGAAATAGTTTATGGGATATGTGGGGAAGATAACTGTTAACCCTAGACTTGAACAGGTTAAGATTGTAATGTTCGGGAAAGCATCCTTTTGGGAGTCGATTCCGCAAAGCCGTTCGAAGCATTTGTGGACTATAAGAGCCGGGGAGGTTAAGCTGGGCAAGCGAACAAGTAGTTATTTACTCTAATAAAATTGAAAATCTTGCACTGTTAGCGGGAATCGTACGAGAAGGGTTGGTGAGACTCGTGTTGCAATTTGTAACCGATTTCCTGGACCACATTTCGGTAGCAGTTCAACATTTACCGGACACAGAAGCCATAGATATGATCGATGTGATAACCAGAGCTAAGGGCACTACCTGTTCATAAGGCGAAAGATCTGGGGATGACAGCCGCTGTCGAGTGGAGTGATATAAGGCTGTAAGCTATTAGTGGAGAAGAGGGAGGTGGAAATTTAGCAAGCAGTGTTTCAGCTGTCGAAGGCCGCACATAATTAAAACTGCAAGGAGCTGAGGCCAGAATTTATTTGTTACAAGTGTGGTCAGCCGGGGTCGTGCAACAAAATACCGCAACCATAGAAATAGGCTAAGGTGGGTTACTCTCCGACAACAGCCTCTTTTTTTTGTCCATTTTAAAAAGGTAAATCTAACATACGACGTTACCGTGGGTTAAGGTGACGGTATGTGGTAGCGGTCGGAAGCCCTCGTCGAAATTGTGTGTACTACTAGGCTAGTTACACCGGAATTGGTTGAATGAAAAAAAAAAAAAAAAAAGGAGAAAAGAAAAAAAAGGAAAAAAAGAAGCATGATTAGTACGGTAGTTGGAAGCGAGATTGCATATATAGGCACCAGTGATGCTTATGCTATGTGAGGCACGGCTAGATGATCACGTGATCGTTATAGATTACCTCGTAAAAGATATTGATATAGTGATTAGAACCAATGAAATTAACATGTTGCGTGACGTCATGATCGGCAAAAATGGAATTATATTTCGAATGGTCCAATGTGAAAACAAAGAATGAATCCCCAGGTATGTTGTTACTATACGAAAGCGAAAATTTATCAGTAAAGGAAGAGTACATCCGTGTAGAATTTGATGTCGAAAAGTGGACTATCAAATATATTTGGAAAGGGCCCCCCCCCACATTGATGAATGAAGCGAGGTACGGGGGGATAGTTCGATGGAGCTCAGAGTAAAAGCTAAATTTGAGAAATAGGTGGAGAGATCGATAGAGGAAGACTTTCTTGCGCCATGTGGAGAAAATGTCAAAACCGGAATGTTATTTTTGATGACAGTACAGCCAACAAACAATATGGTCAGACCAGTGTTAGACCTTTTTCTTCTCCCCCTTCCCCTTCTTCAACTCCCCCTCCTTCTTTTTCTACTCCCCCCTTCTTCGTGCAGTTTCCCTTCAGGACGTGGGCGATCATGACTTCCCGCGGCTTCTTATATTTGTGGTTGACGTTAGAGAACTGAATACTCATGTTGTATATCACAAGAAGAAGGGCTAACGGACATGTGTGGTCGCGGGGTGGGGACATGTGATTAGAGAAATGAATAATGACGGATACAGCTAAGATAATCGAGAGGAAACCAGCCTATTTATAGCTTCATCTGACGAAAACAAATTATGGAAGTACTAGCTAGCAGACTGTAAAGGTAGAATCCACTGTCTGAACAGAGTGAGGTTCGGATTTAACTTATCGAGTATAAGAACAACACTTCCCAAAAAACAATTCTGGAGAAGTTGAATAAAAATGAGGAAGAAACAAATTCGTATATTGACGATATTACGATAGATGAATAAAATACTGATGTCGGAAGAAGTGAGAAGTCATCTTCGGAATTATGGATTAACTGCGAAACCATTGGTATCATTAGAAATGGGAACGGCACTGAGACTTAAACTGAGAAAGAACAGGATGTGAAAATTAATCTTTCAGAGAGGCAAGGAGATCCTACGGATGAGTGATGAGTTAAGTGAGCAGGAGTTGTTTTCGGTGTGTAGAAAATTAGTTGGGCACTACCCTGTTACTTGTCGGTTACGAATCGCATGCAGTTATATCAAGAGGCGGACATATGGAGTAGCTTGAGACGACACGATAGACGAAGGAATAGTCAGCATGATACAAATATGGTAGATGATATGAAATTGAATCATGCCGTGAGAGGAAGGCGGTACGTACCAAAAGTGGGAAAGGGCGTCATGTGGTATGATGCAAGTAGCATGGCTGGAGGGTGTCTTTCTGGGGAGGGGGTGTCAAGACGAAAGATGCAGCTTGGCTGAGAAAGAAGAGCAAGGCTATGCATATCAGTAACGAGTAACTGAGCAATGAAGGAGCTTAATTTGGCTCTGAATTGGGGAGTGCGAGAAATCGAAGTTAAAATCGACTCAGCTTTGGTGTTTGCATGGTTCAAATCGGGTGAAAGTGAGTCGGGAATAAAGCGATAGCGAAAATATTCGTCAAACGACGTTTGGGGATTCTACCAGACCTTGTCTATATTTCTGAGATGAGGTATTATGTACATTATTTACATTATTTGGACTATTGTTCTCATACATTATTTACATTATTCGGACTATTGTCAAGGACACATGGCACAGTGGATAAAGGCGTTGGTTAGATCCAGTGACAGGACCCAAAGAGTGTGAGTTCAATACCCAGTTAAGGCAGTGGAGAACATGGAGAGGGGAATTAACAGGAGATAACTGACATCCATTAGAACATGGCACGGGGAACTAGAACAGTCTACCTCAGTGAGCGAAATCGACATTCCAACCACCTGAAGAAGGCTGGAGCGTACAACGGCCGAAACGTTGTGATAGATATGGCGAAATAGTCCGAATAATGTAAATAATCTACCAGAGTTGTTTTGCGAGAAAGATGTTTTGTTTTAACGTCGAATGAATTTTGTACCTTAGGAGAAACAAACGGATCAGACGTTTTCATTAGGATGAGGAAAGTCTGACTAAAGCTGCCGGGATATTTTGGGATGAGTAATGGCGTCGTGTGCTACGTTGAGAACAGGAATGAATTGCATGGCATGCATCATATTGGGGCACTGGATAGGGCGTTGTTTTTGGTCAAAAAGAGGAAAACTACATGTTACTAAAAAGGCTGTCTGTAAGGTAGTTAAAGAATGTGAATTATGCCAATCGATCAAGTCTGCACCGAATGTGCATAATTTGGGAGAAATTCAAATAGCAGGTAATTGGAAAAGATTGGCAGTTGATATCACATTCTACTGCAATGGAGTGTGTCTATCAATAAACGATTGTAGACTTGGGCGAATATCCCTATTGCAAAAGATTAGGACAGAGATGGTTGCAGCAGTGAAATAATTTTGGAGAGTGCAGTGTTGACGGACAGTGATAACGAGTTTAGATCAAGCTGTGACGAAAGAAACGCTAGAGAAAGGGGAACATTGAAAGCTAATTTAACACTGAATATAAAGTGAATGAAAAACGGTATTGTGTAGGGATACCACAGAATGATTAAGGTCATAGCCGGAAGGGGTTGCATCTCGCTGCTTGATCCTGGACATGTCATCCGTGTTAGGACAGAAAAAGAAGTTAGTAAGACCGGCATTTAGATATGAATAAAGTCGCACGCGAACAGTATCGGTAACCGCTGATAAAATGAAGGAACTTTTACACATCAAAGTTGGAAAGGTACGCAGCGCTAGCTGAATATTTCAATGAAGGAGGGTTTAGTGACCAGTGTGCCACCCTAGACGTGTACGACATGTTTATCTAATGATAAAATGAGAAATGAATGACGAAAGTAGATAGCGCAGCCTGAAGCTACGCCAAAACCACAAAGTAAAAAGCAAAATTACTTAAATATCGACGTCAGTTTTATATAGTATAAGTAAACTGAAAATTGAATAAACGATCAGGAGAAATTAAGTTAAAAGGCACATTATGTAGTCTAGAAATGGAAGGTCTCATTAGATAATACGGGCTTTCCATAAGCAGACATTGGAAGATATAATTTACCTCCGCCGGTGTTAAATACATTGAGTCAATTGCCTCGTCCACTGCAAGGAAAGTTGGCTCCCTGAGCCGCGCTAGGAAGTTTTTCTCCCCGGAGTCGATCCTTCAGATCTACAAATCCACAATTCGCCCTTGCATGGAGTATTGCTGCCATATATGGTCTGGTGCCCCTTCTGTTTGCCTTGATAGGCTCCAGAGGCGGATATGCAATGTAGCTGGCCCTGCCCTGGCGTCTCGTCTACAGTCACCTTCTCACAGACGCGCCGTCGCCTCCCTCTGTCTGTTCTATAAATACTTTCATGGAAATTGCTCCGAGGAGCTGCATTCGCTGGTTCCCAGACATCATCAGTTCCAGCGTCTTACGAGGCTGGCATCCCGCTCTCACCCCTTCAATGTCGAAACTCCTAAATGTAGCCGTCTCTTCTACTCCAGTAGCTTCATGTCTCGCACCTCTCGCCTGTGGAACTCCCTACCCTTTTCCTGTTTCCCTGTGAGCTATAATCTCCAGCTATTCAAGTGTAATGTCAATCGACATCTCCAGTTGCCTTGATCTATCCACTACCCTCATCCTTTCTTCTATCACTCCTATCTGATCTTGCTCTAAATTTTCTGTAACCCCTTGCGTCCTAGTGGCTTCCCGCCTTGCTTGGGGTGAAATGCTTAAAAAAATATATAAACAGGTCAGGGCCGAGGGTATTTTTTTGTTTGTTTCTCTATCTAGTTGGTAAAAAGAATAAAGTTATTAAGAATTATCACTGCCATTGTTGTTGTGGTTATTTTACACAGTATTTCATTGTTTCTGTATTAATTTAGGAAAACGGAGTGAACCGAAATAGTCCGATCTTCTATTACTCGTAGGAGATTGAATAACTAAGCGCATGTAGGTCTCATCAAAAAGACAAAAATATATATCACTTCATAATGAAATGCAAAAGTAGCTTACTAGGTACATAGAAGAGAGCGCTGAACAGTTCTTGGCACTACTAAGAAGGACTAAAAAAAATCTTCTCTTTGATCATCTGTTCAAGTCTTAGGAATTGGATCAGGCTTAGGAATCTTCTGCTCTCTTATCTATTAATTATTTGCAGAATTATCAATTCTTATGTTATATCTTCTTATGCACTCTGGATAACTTGAAGAATAAATGATCCTTTACAGGCACACACACACAAAACAAATATAAAACTTACACTGACAAATTTTAATAAAATCTGAAGTCTGTTTTGGAAAAAAAAGGCTTCTGCTTAATTCCGGAAATAGTGACAATTTAAATATGTGTCTATATTTCTGAGATGAGGTATTAAGTACATTATTTACATTATTCGGACTATTGTCCTCATTTTTGTCGCCATATTTATTACAACGTTTCCAGTGAGCGAAATAAAGGGTTCAGTTCGACATTCCAACCACCTGAGAAAGGCCGGAGCGTACACGGCCGAAACATTGTAATAAATATGGCGACAAAGATGAGGACAATAGTCCGAATAATGTAAATAGTGATAATTTAAGATTTTTTTAACTTTTTATTTCCCGTCAATTACACGATTTCAAAGTCAGAGAACATGCTGAGAAGTGTTTTAAAGGTATACTTTATGATTGCTTTTATTCTTTCTACGATTTTGAGTGTTTTGAATATGTGTTCAAAATGTCACGAAAAATATATACACTATAGCTGGGATTTTAAACTTTAAACTTTCGAGAAAGCTACATATTTTAATTGATTGGGGAATTAAATATCCATGAATATTCCTGAAGCTTGTCTTCTGGACGCATTTATCACATGAATAACATGTGCGAGCAACAGTGGCTCAGAGGTTAGTGTCGAGGTCTCAAAATTAAGAAGATTTATCAACCGGAGAAGGAAAATTCTCATATTTGTCTAGTGACCATCATGTCTTCAATATTGTTGTTATACACTATACGCGACCCCCCACCCGGTAAAACTACAAGTTTAGATAATTAGAAACATTTGTTTTTCTAAAACCATTGGCTGATTTAACCATCTAGTGGCCATTGTTCTATTAGTGGAACATTTAATGACATGTATTATTTTTTTAAATATCAAACGAGTATTAATTATGACTAATATTTTATCGATAGAAGGATGGGCGATAGATAACGTCTTGGAATGAGAAGTTGGAGAGCGGTGTTCAAGTTCCAGACGAGTTTGTTACATTCACTTATGCGCAAATACTCATGGGAAAAGCATTTCTTCTTCGCTCAACTATAGGTTAAATAGTAAGACATACTGGGTCATATAGCCTTGGTTGGAAACCAGTCTACCGCAGAAAGTAATGGCAGCCTACTGCGAGAATTATTCTGCTAAGTCAGTCACGAATCGAAAAGAGTTTTATTCGCACATGCGCACATCAATCATGACACCCAAGGAAGAAAGGATATATTGAAAATACAATATGTGTTTACGTGTTAAAATGCAATTTATAACGATTCATATTACGTTTCTTATTTGAGTTTTGGTATTAAAAATCTTTTAGGTTTTATTGATAAAGCATAAAAACATTAACTGAAGATTAAAAGCTTACAAAGAAATATTTGTACTGCTAAGTAAGCTTGATTTATTAGGGAAGGTTATCATAATCTTGATAATAATCATAATATCCAGAAGCAAACCGTCTGTATACGGAGACAAAGTGAATGCAGTAAATATAGAAAAAATAGAAAGTGGCGTAATATATATAATATTGTGTCTTCTCACCAGACTTATTCGACCTTTACAGGAAAACAATCTTGAAAGAATTAGACGCCCTTTCAGGATTCATTATTGGCAGCTACAATCTTAACAATATTAGATATGCAGATGACAGTGTTGGTAGCAGACACAAAAAGGAGACTACAAGAACTCCTAACGAATTAAGAAACTAAGCACTATTTAAAAGAAAGGACTAAACATCAAGTGTAAGAAGACAATATATGGTTTTCAGCAAAAGGAAAAACGAAGATACGAATTACCAACTAGAGACACCAAAATTATGGGAAGGGTTTTGACGGAAAAATGCGATACCAATACACAAAGTGCATTGGGATAGCGAAAGGTGCCTTCCAAAAGCTAAGCAAGGTATTAAGAAACAGGAAAATTTCGTTAGAAACAAAGAAAAGAGTAAGGGAATATTATATAATATCGATTTTCTTATATAACAGTGAACGCTGGATAATTTCCTCATAGATTATTATCTATTATTTCATAGATGAAGACTTCAGGAAACAAAAATGTGGTTCTACAGAAGGATGCTGAGAATACTATGGATTGAACATGGGACAATGACAAAATTTTAGAGAAACTTGAAACCAAAAACACATATACGTAGAATCAGAAAGACACAGTTGAAATTTCTAGCGCACATAATGAGGAAAGAAGGCTCGGAAAACTTGACGCAGGACATACTGAAAGTAAGTTAGGCAGAGGAAAACAGCGGATTCCTTTTTCCTGCAACAAGAAATAAAAATAAACTGCATTTCTACCATGAGACGGTTTACGGCCACATCACGTTGAAACACTTGTTCCCGTACGATCACCGAAGTTAAGCAACGTCGATCCTAATCAGTACCTAGATGGGTAACCGCTTGGGAATATAAGGTACTGTAACGTTGGGTGTGAGTGTGGTGTAATGGATAATGGCTCGGAGTTGTTAATTGGAGAGTCGAGTTCCTGTTGAATTTGCTAGAATTAATAGTGGCTGGCCACTCGTATTCGAGGATACCCGTCTACCGAGGTTGGCCAGGTAATCCCTATTACTCGCTCGGGATTATTTGTGTTTGCTCAACATCCACAGGACCAACGTGTGGTTTATACTGCAACTATGTTGAGTAGACATTAGTTACAGTTTCTGGGAGAGAGCGCGTTATCTAGCGTGATCAACAACTTGAACAAAGCCAGCACGCTCAAGCCCTCGGCCACGATGACTTCGTGTTAGCACAGCCATCGGCTGTTCCCAAGGGTTCTACCTACCCACTTCGTGACAAATCCTGACTATGGTGAGTTTCGAACCCGTGTCTCAGGATCAGAAAGCGAACGTTCCACTCACTCGGCGATATGGTTATTGTTATAATTATTTATGCGCAGATACCACTGGGAAATGTGTGAATCCATCTCTTCTCCCCAGCTATGGGTTAATTAGTAAGACTTGTAATGCGAAAACCATTATCTCCAAGAAAATAAAATTTCGTACAAAATATTTAAATTTCGGCATTAAATAACTCATAAAAAATTGATATGCCAATAAAAAAATACAAACACCCAACCAAAATGGAGAGAAAATGGAAACAAAAAGGACACTCATACTTAACATCAGAAACAGTCTGTTGAAAATTCTAGGGTATATGATGAGGGAAGAGGGCTTGGAAAATTTGGCACTCAAAGGACAGGATATTGTGGAGAGCCACGATCGACCACGTCCTGAATGCACACGTTACATAGAAGAAGAATATTTTGCAACTATATCTTTACAACGAAATGGATTTTCTTTATTGAGTTAAGAAGTTGGCTGATAATATTGATGTTGAACAGACAATTCTATGAAGGGATCCAATCTCGACATAGATAAAGCAAAGTGTCAACATTTTAGAGACAGCCGGATGTGTTCACTCTCCGTCATTTCTAGAAAGAGACTCAACCGGAAGACGTATGTGTGATCTAATGCGTTAAAGGTTAGTACAGCTGTTGTAGCCGTGGGACGTGGACAGGATTTAACACCGATGGACCGTAGAATCATTGTTAGAACAAGAAAGATGGTGCTCTCTGTCTTCGAGGCGGTAACTGCCCTAGGTTTTTCACAGGTAACAGTAGTAAGAGTAAGGGGAGGGGAATATGTGTATTCAGAACAAAGATTAACAGCACGTGAACACTACGGGCGATGCTAGAATGAGTGACAACTGATAAGTATGATAAGCATCAAACGAAGGGGAACAAAGCATTAAATCCAAAGTTTGTGCTACTCAACCATTCTGTCAGCGTATGAGATTTCATAGTCATCGAGTCACAATTTTAGTATTATGAGAAAATTAAAAATCACGTGACATATTGAGGTAGGGAAGGAAAGTTGGTAAACAGCAAGTAACCTACCGTAGGGTCATTGATCGCCTCCTTAAGCTGCATGATATGGGCATCGCCAGGTCTACATATGGTGTTGAATTCCGGGTTGTCCTACTCTTAGAATGGCTGCCAACCAAAAGCCCAACCTGTTCTACTATTTAACCTTTAGGTGGGAGGAGAAGTGTTGAATTCACAATTGTATTTCCGCGTAAGTGAATGCAGATATATGATAGATTCAAAGTAACTTGATAGCAAATATTTCAAAATATGTAAAATATATTGGATGAATTATTAATAAAGTTAATATATTATGAACTTTGTCACTCTCTCTATTTTCAAATTCTATATATACACACATGAATATATATATATATATATATATGTGTGTGTGTGTGTGTGTAAATATATTGATAAAATAGTAAAGAACCTTTAGATTGATGATCCGAAGTTCTTTAGTAATTTTCTTTTAAAAAACAGTGCTGGATACACAAGTAGAGCCTAGATTATAATTATTTTTTTAAATGATTCCATCGCTACACATATTGAATCATATTTAAAAATAATAATATATATATATATATATATACACACAGAGGGGGGTGTCCTCCAAAAATGAACACCATTTAAAATGTGAATATCTGAGTAACGACATGTCCCAGGCAAACGAAATTAAACAGATTTCATGTTGAAGAATAAAAGATTTATTTATTAAAATTCGAACCAGATATTAACAGCGATGTAGATTTTATAACCGATGATTTCACAAAGCTTTAAAGATGTTCAATATGAGCACCATCTGTGACATAACACACTCCAAGTCTGTAGTCCAGCTCCCGCCAAACACACCGTAGTACGTCTTGGGTAACATTCGCAGCGCCTCAGTGATTCTCTGTTTAAGTTCCTCTAGGCTTGTAATGGGAGGGAGGGGATATAGACCTGTCCTTTCACATATCTCCACAGAAGAAAAAAAAATCACGAGGTTCAAGTGAAGTGAACGTGGTGGCCATTTCAACAGCATATTGTCATTATCACTGGCACGCCAAATCCATTTTCCTGCTAGATTTTCATTGAGATAAGTCCGCACAGTTAACTATGTTTTTACACATTTTTTTTTTAACTTTTGATCATTTAAGCGAAAATTGGCTATGTTATTAGACTGCAAAATGATGTCAATTTCTTTGGGATACACTCTCTTTATAAAATCACTTGATGAATTCTGATTTATAATCAAACATTAACATTGCTTCGTTGCGAAAGTTCTTTGTGGGTGAGCGATTTAAAAACCTACCGGACTATATATTATTTTCCCTACATATGGGAGATTTACATTCGAACCCTGTCAAAGCGCACATCGCTTTTATTAAGACTCTTGAAACCCGGACCGATAGACGACAATTACATTATTTAAAAACGAAGATGTCTACTTAAACACGTATATCGACTTAATATAACGTTTATATTAATAAGGAATATATATATAATCAGTAATTGCTAGTTAACTGCAGGCAAAAGGCTTTTCCAAAAACATTCCATGACGACTGTGGCTGTGCATTACTCTTCGATGTCTTACTAGTAAATCCTATTTCATTTCTCCATCTTTTATCTGATCGTTGTCTAATCATTGGGCACCAATCAAGTAACCTTTGACTCCATCTGTTATTTTTTCTTCTTTATATGCGGCTCGTTCATCTCCGTTTTAATCTTTTATTTGAAATCTTTCTTCTTGATATATATTCTGATCTATATTGACCCCTTTCTGATTTCTTAGAATTATGCAATGCACTGATTTTTGTCATGGCTCTTTTTGTGTCTATAAACTTAATTTTCAGCGATATTGCTCATTACCGTCAGAGCAGACACCATACACACATTATGAACTGGGTTTGAAGCATATCTGTAGGGGGTGAAAACGTGTGAAAACGAAGAAAATAAACAATCATTAAACACGACTCTACAAATTTAAATGCATTTTTATTACTGAGTATTTGTTTTATTACAAAGCTTCCTTGCGAAACAACTTCACTCAAAAATATTCTTGTTTGTCTTTACTAGACAACCGAATCAATTGTATTAGTATGGTAGCAGAAACAGAATGTGTCTACTTAAGGAGAGTGTCTTATTTTATGAATGCGTGTAACTTTCTAGTAGCAGCATGCCAGCAGGCTTAGGAAGCTGTAAAATTCGTGTTGACAATTACTCGGTTCGTACGTTTTAAATATGCATAATTTAACATCACTAAGCTCTTGTAATAAAGTAAACACGAATAAATCCGCGAAAGGTTACGTATTAAATTATACGAAAGGTTTTTGAGAATTCAGCTTGTCCGCAGCAACGAGCAGCCGACCATGGTAAAAGATTTACGGAAATACTGAAAACTAATTTTTTAAATTTACGTGATAATATTTATACAGAAAAAATAGACTTCAGAAGAAACTAAAAATTAACTTATTACGGATTAATAAATATTTTCCCCAATTTTTAAATGTCTAATAATGTTGTTGATAATTTTCTGGAGTGAGCCTTCAAAATTCGATAAACATTGTTGTTTGAAAAATTCAATGACTACAGCGAGTTTCCTATGACGTCACTGATTGGTTAATAAATACAAATGAGGAAATTCAAATTTGTGCTTACATTGTGCACAAAAATTAGTTTTATTTTGAGTTTAAGTAATTTAACTTAAATCGCTTGCACCCTTCTACAATTCTTCAACGGGGTTTCACATATTGATGGTTAATAAAGACACCAAATATATGGAGAGCCGAGAACGTCTACATCCTGAGCAGACATGACCTTTATTCTTATTAGTTAACAATCAGATTTATTTCTTGTCCATATATTATTTTGAAGTGAATTAGGCTGTTTATTTGAAATTCATTCACAAAGAGCTTTATGTTTCTCATTCCGTAAGGATAGGGCTTTGTGCATATAGCATTGGTTTCTATGGCAAATGTCTCATTGTTTGCATAATTGTCAGTGGATCACCAAACCTACACATCATATCAATTGTATTCCTTTACTAGTCTTTTTTTGCATTTACTTGTATAATTCGTAGCCACATATCTATTTCCACGTAGTCAGCTTTTAATATCTGGCCTCATTCATTTTATCCTCAACATAATTGGTTCTTATAAAATTGTTTTGAACCGGCAGTCATAGAAATTAAGCTTCTATCTTGAAACATCATTTCCACATCCTTGACATTTTATCTGCAATTTCTTTTGACTGCCTTATCCGAACACTTTCTTTCCATTTTGGAATATCCTGATCAAAGTTAGGTTTATTGTCATCGAAATTGTGACGGTCTAAAAGACCGTCACAATTTCGATTTCTATTGGGCTGATTTACGTAGTTCTCAAGCAGTTTATTATCGGAGTCAACACAATCCCCAATGTTAATGAGCCACCATTCCTTTTCTTTTCATATATAGTCTATAAACGTCATCCATAGAGTGTAGAATTTTTTTTTCATTGTTTTCAACTTTGTTTTGTGATCAGCATTTCTCTGTTTTTCTCTTATCCAGTTTAGGAAGGGTTGCAGTTATCTCACAATATCTAGATATTTATCCCTATTGTCATGTTTCCATTGACTGTATTCTCCATTTTTAAAATATTTTTGTTGACCTTTTCTTCCATTTTATTTTGTTTGATTAAATCCGATTTATACACAGTTTTAATTCTCTTTTTTAATCAGTATCCTGATAATTACCTGGTTGTGCAGTTCAGTTCCTTCAAGTGCTTCTTCTTTTACTACTGTACAGGGGGGGGCATGGGTAAGTTGTTGCCATTTTATATTTCTAATTTCGCGTTGTTTTTGATTGTATCGAATGTACAGTATAGTAGGGTCAGTTGGACACCGTCTGTGAGATAAAGAGCATTATGATGTAATTCACTCTGCCAGACATTTGGAAACGGCATGCTTGGCATTCGCACCGGAAGCTCCAATATGAACATTCCAGAGTGTTTGGATGTCAGAGTGCAGAGGATTCGTAAAGATGAGTTTAATAGTGATTACGAAGATACGGTAGCTCCAAAAACTCACTCTGATCGTTCTGATGAGAAAAGAACTCCCAAATTTGTTGGTCAGTGTGTCAGACTCAACACCGAGGCCTACAGCAAGTGCCTTGAGGAGTTATTGCTGCCCTGGGTCAAGAGGATCTCTGATAGAAGACCCTATGTCTGGCAACAGAACTCTGCACCATGCCACACATGCAGGAGAACCCAGTCATGGCTGTCAGGCAATTTCTGCGACCACAACAACCCTTACATCTGGCCACCTAATTTCCCAAACTGCAACCACCTTGATTATTATGTGCGGAGTGCACTTGAGAATGAGACCAACAAAACTTCTTATAACACCAAAGATGAACTGAAGGGAAGGATTATAGCAACATTCGTCAACTGGCCACATCATTCAATACCTGGCCACAGCAGGGGGAACAAAAATCTGGAGAGTTCAGTTACTAAAGGGAACTGACATATTCAAAAAAGGAATAGTACATGGAATTAGAACACACTATCCCCGTGAATTAAATAAAGGGTTCGGTTCGAAATTCCAACGTATATCGCCTGAAGAAGGCTAGAACGTACAACAGCCGAAACGTCGTGAATTTGGCAATAAAGATGAGGACAACAGTCCGAACAATGTAAATAGTGTAAATAGTTACAATAACTCATCTCAGAAATATGGAGAGATGAGATATTCTAGGATATTTTGGTGGGGAAGTTGTATGTAATTGGTTGTAGTTGTTCCATTCCGAATGTTTGTTTGGATCAGAATCGACTTTTTTTTCGCCATCCAGTCGAGGATGCTTGCTGTCATGAAGTATTTTGATAATTGATGGGCTACTGTTTTCTGTTTATTTGTGAATCACTGGATCCAGGATTTATGGATTTCCTAAATTCGATTTCACGTACTTCGTTGCTTAGGTTGGTCAAACATTCCACCTTTCTATTGTGTTCATTAACGATCTATTCCAAAACAGTTTCATTTCAATCGAATCAGTTTGTTCGTTTATATTAAAGTTTTTCTAATTACCTCTCTGCTGTACTTGCTTTCATTAATCTGGATCATTAGAGTTTGTCTAAATTGCTGAATTCCATGTTGTTATATCTTAAGCCGACCTTGCTTACTCAACATTCATGTGTAGTATTACATTTCCTGTTTCTATTTGTAGTATTTGGTATTTTGTCGATTCCTCCCGCGTTTGGATCTTTATTCTTTTTTGTATTACAATTTCATTTCTTCACGCAATGTTTATATTTAGTCTCATCTCACAGCCAGCTTTGGCATTATTGTTATTCGTTGTGGTTTGTATTCTTTTCCTGAATAACATTTCCGTAACTAACATTTCTCCTGCATGCAATGATTTATTTCTTTCATTTCAACTTTAACATATTGCAGCTTTTACTTTCGTCCTATGACTTTTCCCATACCCTAGAGATGTTATATATATATATATATCACAGATCCTTTTCATGTTGACGGTTGAACTTGAAAGTTTCAGCCCCCACCGGATGGTTGTACGTTAGGAAGACAAATATGCAGCAACGATTTCTTAGGCCTTATGGTCGATGTCGGCCTGCGTCAGGGATGTCGTCAACTGATTCTTGAAGAGTCGTTTTGGGACTTCGCGCAGCCTCCTGCCGCTGGCGAGTGCTTCAAACAGAATGATACGAGTGGGACGCATTCTAGACACGTGACCCACCCAACGGAGGCGACACACACACACACATATATATATATATATATTTCGTATATATTGGCACCATGTTTTCATCGAGACAGGTTTCATTGAATAATTTAGCCAAGTTTTGTCTACTTATTTTCAATATCAAGGTATACACTAATTGATTTAATACTTATTTCTTAAAAATTCTCCACAAAACCATACTTAGTTACCTCCCCTGAAGCGCTGTCAAGCGATTACGTACTGACTCAGCGTTCTTCACTTCACAAGTAAAAAAAAATTAACTTTCTGATGAACACAACAATTTTGTCTTTGAAAATGATGAACACTACAATATTTGTTTTGAAATAAACAACACACTGATGATGACATTGTGCTATGTCTAAAGTACTCGCAATAAAATAATATGTACCAACACGTCGATTTTTTCGCTTCCTTTAATAATGACACCAAAAAGATTGTCCGTGAATATAAAAATAAGTAGACAAAACCTGTCTAATTTATTCAATGGAACCTGTCTCCTCTCTATCATTATATATATATATATATATATATATATATATATATATATATATATATATATATGTGTGTGTGTGTAGCATGTATAATAGAATCCGAAACAAAATGGAAATGATGAGACAAAGTGGAAAAGCTATGAACATTTTCGTAGTTTATAGGCTTTGTATTATGTCTGGGAACTTGGACAAAATAACATCTTTTGAAAACCAGAGTCTGATTGTCTACGTCGAATCATCAATAACATAAAACAGTGATACTCAACTAGTGTACCGCATGATCCTGTTAAGTTTGCTGCGAAATATTGTCACGGCATACATATATTATGCGTGTGTGTGAAAGTGTTAATGCACAAATAGTCGAATAGAAACATTAAAATAAAATAAGTTCAAATCTGTGTATGTATTTTAAATTTCATAACGTTTAAATGTATACTCTTTAAAAAAATTGCTAAGTGTGACCGCCCCACGGCGCTGGATCGGCCTTCCGGGAACCAGACCACGAAGGTCCCCCGTTCCGGAACGAATTCTTCGTCGACAGCGACAAGGCAGGTAACTAGAAGCCGGTCTCTGAGTCGACTCCACCGTGAACTCCCTTGCCCACGCTGTAAATTTGATCTCAAGGAAGCCACGTGGGTTTTCGCCAGGTGTCTCTCCGCCAAGTCGAACCAATCCGGACGCGGACGCACAATTGGGTAAATGAAACGGCACCAAATATAAACAGAACAACGTCTGAGTAAGATGTAGAAAAGAAAGTCTTTATATACAGAAGAATTCGGAGTACAATCATCAATTGTCTTCTTCCCAACCCTTGTTCCTAACAAGCTGACCACGGAACGGAAGTCTCGACTAATTTCCTTAAGGGGTGATTTTCAAGTTTTTTGGTTGGCGTTATTTCTTCACTCCGGTCGGAGTTCTTGGTTGGCGTTAATTCTAAGTGTCTTTGTTTTACTTCACACCGAAGCCTCACAGAAACTGACGAGACTGTCTCTGATTGTTGCGGAGGTTGGCGGGCGGCGCTGTTGGTACTTCAAGCCTCACTCCTCGGCTAACTGCAACTGCACTCCACTCGTCGCTACTCACTTGGGGCTCTGTATTTATTCTTGTCCATTCTTTACTGGGATGGGGACGACGGTTACTGGGGTGTCTATGCGAACCTAATCTCTTGTTAGCCAATGAAATTACGGCTTCATTTCTTTCTTTCTTCTTCCCTCGTGACACAGCCAATGGGATAGTGTCGTCTTCATGACATCACTCCTTTTCTCGGCCCTTTCTTTCTTTTCCAAAATACCAAATTAGTTGCCCAGGAAAATTCAGTTTATATTTTTTTTCACCAATTAGTATAACCTTTGAACCTGCCATAGATAACCGAATAAGCAATTTCCTTATGACACACTTTATAAATGCGTTTTGACTTTGTTCAAATTTAGAACCTCCAAACCACCTTGCCTGTTTAAATCCTGTTAACAAAATTCACTTCCAACTCATTCTGTTGGGGGTCAGAGGGCATCCATTGTTCTGTGTTGACACATTTTTTTGGTTTACAATCCACAGCTGGAAAATGCTGTTTCATAGCTGCCGTCAACAGTTGATTGACCCCCACAACCTCATCCGATATGACTGTTTTACTTTGAGAATACCATGACTTGTGATAATTTTACCTCATTAAAAAAAATATCGTCCCTTTTTTTTTCTCTCTGTTCATATTGGAAACAGAATAGAACATCAACTAATATAATTTTCTTCCATTTGGTCTCTAATAATCAATAGTGTAAAATAATGCAAATTCTTCCTTTCGGTCATGCTAAAGATTGTTACATCAGTGTGTCATGATACTTTTATTTGCTCCTAGGTATGCCATTGCTTAAAAACGTGGAAAAAACAGACATAAAACATAAGCAGTTACATTTCAAATTAAAAGCCCTATGCAAAGATAGCAAATGGGAACACATAAGACGTCCAGACATAATACAAAACGTATCAACCTCGCAAATATTTATAGCTTTTACATTTTCTCTCTCTCTCTCTCTCTCTATATATATATATATCCTGTGAAGTATTTTTATTATCAGTTCAGTTTACAAATTCCAGTTCTCTGAAAATCTGTTTTGCTTCGTAAGCATGTCCCCAGCATGTTGCAAAAAAAACCCACCAAACTTTTCATTCATGTTCCACATTTCTGACATCCTTTCTTTCCTCTGTTCCCTTTGAGAGGGGGTTATTTTTGAAATAGCAGTAGAGCACAATCCTTCTTGTCATCTCTGTAAACGCATGGCCAATAATCGCATTAGAACACGCAACCTCCTGCAGGCTAACAAGGGAATAACTGTCAGAAAAGAGGTCAACAGTTGTCGGAGGACGACCGAGTCCTCCTTGTTCGTTATCAGGAGTGCAGCTGACGAGCATGACGCGGAAATCACTGAGTCCCAAGTTTATTTCATACATAATGCTTTGTCAACGCCATGAATGGTAATTTTTATAAGCCTGCTATCCTAGCGTAGGGATGGAATGGTTTTCTCACGGGCTTGAGATTAATTCAGAACCTCATTAATCAGGGATCATTACAAGACATCTCACGAAGTAGGCAGCAATTAATAAAACAAAAGGAAATGTTGACCTAATTAAAATATTAATTATCATTAATATCATCAAGATAAAAATTTGTTGCAATCAATAATAATAATAATATTACTATCATTTATTTTTAATCATATCACCCCTTGCTAGGTAGTAATGCCGCTAAGACACAAGAGGTTAAAGAGTGTGAAAGAAAAAAGATACATTATTAAGGAGCGAGAGAAAAAGAAAGGTAATCAGGAAGACAGTAGATAACGATTGATATTGCATTTACATTTTTGAAAATCAAAATTGGCTGGAAATTGGCTATATTACGGCGGTGAGAAAAGTGACTGAAACCTAGATGCCAGGTCAGGACCAATAATGTTGCAGATTCTTCTTTGGATTTTACCAAGAATCTCTAGATATACAGCAGGAGCACCAGGCCATATGTGGCATCAATATTCAAAGCGTGGAGGAATAATAGAGTTATAGATATGTAAGATAGATTCAGGAGAGAAAAATTGTCTAGCATGACACAGTGAACCGACTTTCTTAGCAGATGACCTAGCAATGGATTCAATATAGTCTATCCTCCTCTCCTTATGTCAGCTGAGGCACTCTCATGAAGACTATTATCAGCCATTCTGATGTCAGGAAGGAGTCTTTCAGACAATAATTGTATGCATTTCTTGGCTTACACAAGTGGAAAAAATATCTAAAGTAGACAGAAATAATCAGTTGAATCTATTCACTTCTCACTCGTTTTACTTGGGTCACGTGCAACTCGAGTTTGTAAAATATATCAGAGATAGAGAGAGAGAGAGAGAGAGCGAAAGAGAGAGGACGTCTATGATGACTTTCATACCGTAGGACTTCTTCCATTTTGTCATACAACTTTTTTCCAAAACCGTTCTTTCTATATATATATATATATATATATATATATATATATATATATATATATATATATATATATTATATTCGTAAAATACATCTATTATATGCTTTGGTACACATCATCAGTGATATTTCTAGCTGAGGTTCATAAGTGTTTCGGGTTTTCAACATCATACCCACTCTCCACAGTGACCCAGCGAATACTTATCGGGTATCGGTTTGTGTACCTTCCGTTAGTTACAGTTTTTCCATTCTATCGACTATATATATATATATATATATATATATATATGACATACGGTATTTTGCTGCTTATAAGGCGCATTTTCTCCTTTTAAATATTATTCACAAACTAGTTTGCGTCCTATGAATATTTATAGTTATAAAATTGAGGTTTGGAGTGAGCATCAGCTCCCCAGTTACATCCGATTCTGACCCTTGAAAGTAAAACGAGTCCAGTGTTTCAAAATTCAATTAACAAGGTTTTGAGAGAAACAATTTATATAGTTGCGATACTGGGATACTGACAGGAAACGAAATTTATACATTAACACCTGCTGAGGTAACACCTTCATTCCTTATTTCTTAAATTACTTTCTTAACCGACATGCAAACCAAACACAACCTTACTACTGTATCTAAATTTACATGATTTAAAATTAGTGCTTCATTCTGTCTTGTGATGAATTCGTTCCAATTAGCGAGGATTTCTGTCTACAATAATGTTTGTTTTCTATTCGTATTATGCACTTTAATTTCTCTTCTAATTATTACATTCAAAATACTTGCCATAATAAATACTTCTTAGTCTGTGATGAATTTGATATGATTAGTAAGGTTTTCATGTTCAAATATGCTGTTCAGGGTGGGGATAAAAAGTGGAATGGTGGAGGGCGATGAAGTACAAAGAAAAAACTTATTTTTCGATTTCTTTCTGAGAAAGAGGGCGTCTAATGTATTGGTGCGTCTTATAACCAATGAAGTGCGGTATATATAATCTCCATAAATTTCTCCCTCCCCCAATTTCTGTGTATTGTTCAAACTAAATTTTTTTTCTCCTCGTCTGTCTGTCATGAAGGCAAGTCAGACCGTACAAACATTATTCACTATTAAGTAATTATTATGACTTTTATAAAATCCTGTTCAGGCCTTCGCCTTGAAGAGGACACATCAGTGCCGCCTCATCGCGACGACAAAATACGTGAAGCAGCAACTCGGTGACATCGGGGTAAGAGCGTCTTCACATGTATTTGTAACAGTCGAGACTGTCACACCCGTGTCGATCAGTACAGCAATAATTGATGCCGCGCCGCCATCAGTAGTTGGAGCATAACTCTTTGGGCTCAAATCCATGGTCCCTCGAGATCGACGGATGTCACATATAAACCGTAATATTACGAGTAGTGTTTATCAAAGAAATACCTGAAAACTTTAACGATTACATAAATAGTGACAGATCAAAATTTCGCGGGAGAGAAAGGATGAAATTATCACAGTTGCATTTTTGCGCGGATTGCATTTTAAACTCGGGCGGTTTCAGAAAGTTTTAATCAATTTTTTGTTATTGAACATTGGTTTTACTGGTTTAATTAGTCTTTTACAGTTTTTCTGGGTTGAAATAGAAATATATAGATATAAATAGATATAAAACGCCACATTTTGAATTATTCCGTTTAAACTTAGTAGAGATCGACATTCGCTCCACGTGTTGTGCACCAAAAACCATCATTCAGATCGTGACATAAGGACAGACACCAAAATATTAGTCGACAAGGCACTAGTGATTCCAACTTTCCACTATCTCTCTAAGACTTGGACAATATATCGACGACATCTGAAATTCCTTGAAAATTTTCATCAGCGTTGCCTTCAAAATACCTTTGAACCTCAGTTGTGGAGACAGAAAACCTAACGTCAGCGGACTGGAACAAGGTAAAATAATCAGGATTGAAGCCATCGTCATAAAAATTCGATGGAGTGGACACCTGCTGTGAATACCGTCCTGGGTATGACGATTAACTACATTCGAGTCCTGGGTAAGACGATAAACCACGTCCAACAGCAAGGCCTCTGATCAGGAGGTTTTGAGGAGCGGGGAACAACCTCTTAATTGCTGGCGTTCCCAGGTCCACCCAGACCCGGGGTGGTAGCACCTGTTAGGGGGTCCCAACTACGGACAAATAGTTAACCCCCAAATTGGTGTCAAAACACTATGAAAGTGTAAAAATAAGTCTTAATACCAGAAATACTTAGTAAAAGAAAAAATAATTAGCATCAATACATTATCAGCAATACATTTTACGCAAAATTTTTTACCAGCAATACCTTTTTGAAAAAAAAATATTATCAGAAACAGATTTTTTTGAATGAAAAATATTACTGGCAATACATGTTTGAAAAAACAAATATTACCAGCAATAAAACTTTTGTCGGCATTAAATAACCCATTGAGGTTAATATGCAGTAAAACAAACCAAACCCTGTTGTGAATAGATGGCAACCGAAAGCAAATCTTTTACTCTCAACTCATTGAAGGAAAAGAGGAGATCAACAAAAGAGATTCAAGAACGTTCTAAAACAAAACATGAAAAAATGTAACATCGACATCAACAGCTGAGAATCCAGTGCAATGAACAGGAATCTCTGGATTTTTGTTCCGTCCAGAGACAGAACAACAATCTTCGAATACAAACGCCCAGACGAACTAGACGAGAAAAGAAGACATCAAAAAGAAAGACAACAACCAAGATCTAATTCACCATCCGGAATAACCAGTTCTCAATGTTGAAGGAACTTTCAAGGAAAACTCGGTCTTGTTAGCTATGTCAGAGTCAAACAAAACAATACAGGCCTTACAGACAAACTAAGGCTATTTTATATATAATAATGATCCTGACAATGGAATGCAAAGTGCAGAAATTTGTGAACAGCTTCTCTAGTGGTGAGGAGTAGTGAAAATATAACATGGCTTCTGCAGGTGATGCCGTTAGCTTCATTCATTCGAACAGATGATCGCGAGAGAAAAGAACAGTCGAACAATGGATATAATTTTCTTATTTCCAGATGTCTAGGCCAAATAAAGGACAAGTTTTTCCTATTTCAAATCTTCTGACTACCTCTAACCTTTATAGTGTCAAAATCCATGGAGTTTAATGTGCTGGAAAGGGAGGAAAAGAAGTTCCATCGAGTAGAACTGCTTCAGCACAACCTCTTTCTTTTTAAACTCGACATTCTGCTGACTTGTTTATAATCAAAATCAGGTAATCCTGACTTTAGTCATGAGTGTATAGATTACGTTCTTTGCCTTCATTTGACCTCGTGTATCACCGATGTGTATATTGGACTCATCATCTACAAATCATTTCTTTATTTATTCACATTCACGAATATATTAAATAAGAACGACATTTTAATTCAAAATATATTTCTATTGACAATGAAAATGTGTGTTCGTATAGTTTGTATGTTTCAGTTGTCTTTCACAGGCACCTGATCCCAAACTTGTCGACCGAACAATAAATATTTTTTCATATATTTTTAGTTCGAATATTCATTAAAAAATATAGTCATATAGAAGATACGAAAGCTGAGAAATACGATCAGGCTAATAATGTTGTTTTTAATTTTTAATACAAAAAAGTAATGAAAGAAAAATCGATAAGCCCTTCAACAGACAGATATACGAGATCTTCCCGGAAATTATCTAGCCATTGTGAATATCCGAGAACAAGTTGTGTGACCTTGATTTAACTTGGCAGCTACTCAGTGAGGGCCTTATTACGCATGCGTGCACACCCTTCTATAGGGTCACTCAGTTTGAAGTGAGACACCGTTAGGGGAACTTGCATACACTGACTGCCGCGTTTATCATGAATGGCCACTAGCTCGTTATACACGTTTCTTTTAGGATGTTTCCTCAAAAAATCGGCTAGATAAGCCAACGCCAACCAACAGTGTAGATTTGACTAGTTGCAACATCCAACTTTTTGCAAGGCTAAATTCGACGTTCATAGAAGATTTTGTAGACTGTTTTGAAAACAGAAATATGATAAATGCGTGATATCCTAAAGAGATTACTTTGAAGAGGATGAAGGCAATTTCGTTCTAGCTAGTCTCATATTCGTTAATATTAATCGGCTGTGGTTGTCTGGATAGACGTAATATTTTTTAAAAGGTACTGCTAATGGTGAAAATAACCGTTTCCAAACAGGAAACATTCGATATTCATTGACCGAAGAATTTGCGTTACTGCCGGTTAAAATTTATAAAATATTTTTCTTAAAAGAGATATTCGGGAAAATAGGTTTCTTAAGTCCAGTAACTGTTATCGCTCTTTCTAGTAGTGACAAGATTTTATTTTATAACCTTTACCAATCATATAATCGAATTAACTACCTCACGAAAATAACAAGAAACGGGCGATTGGAACGTCTGTGATTTCAAATTCAGTATCATACATGTGGTTATCTCACCGTTAACTTTTCCTGAGTGAGTGAGTCGAGTAGGGTTCATTCAGTTATCTACCATGCATGATACACGCTTAGGCGATCATGTATCTTTCGATACATGACTGACGAGGCAGATTTTTTTCCTGCAGTAGGTTGCCATATCTTTCTGCGGTAGACCAGTTGCCATCGAAGGCTATCGAACCCAGTCTGCCCTGCTATTTACTCATAGCTGAGTGGAGAATAAGCGGATTCATACCTTTCCCAAGGGTATTAGCATGTAAGTGAATGCAATGGATTCGAGTGGAATTCGAACTCGGCTCTCCGATTCTTCAATCCGAGTCGCTTTACACCACCACGACAGCGGTCCAGCACCGTCTGAAAACGGATCATGTTCTTACATAAACTCGTCAGATCAAGACTTTTGTAATGATGTCATACCTGGCAATCCAACTCATTCAGAAATATCTAGGCCAGTGTTTCCCAACCTTAATTTTATCTTATTTTTTATCAACGGCAGATCTTAGAGCAAATGATAAT